GATGTATAATTTATTTTAATTATTTCAAGAAATCTTTGAATCATATGTAAAACTTGGTTGCCATTATGTTGTCAGTGAAAACACTGTGAAGCAGCATACAGCTTTGTTTTAGCCTGTTCTTATGAGTTACAGCAAAGGGCTAAAATATGTCTACAACAGCAGTCAGGATGGGAACTTTTTTTTTGCCAATCATAGTGATAGTTTGAGGTTTCAGATCAGCCTGAGGCTGTTTTAATATTACACATACTTAATAATATAAAGCAAAGGTAATGAACATGATTCTATAAATAAGGAGTATTATTAATATTTAATACATGTGAAATGCACAACGCTACAGTACAATGTTGACCGCAGCACCAGAAGCCAATAGGAGCATACCTGTAGCTACATAACATTATGTTGCAGTTCTATCATGACTGAAGGAATAAGCTGTAACAAGGTATTTTATCAAGGTACAGTTGGATCTGACACTTTATTTGATTGTCTTGGATATACAGTATGCAACAAAAGTGAGTACACCCCTGGTGAGTATCATTAATATATTTAAGTAATTACAAATCTGGTCCATTTAATAAGTTTTATTTGTACCAACCAAAGCCCAGGAACATACCCAATGAAGCCACATCATTTATAAAAAAATGTTTGACTGTATAAACTATAATGAATGGCTCATTTAAAAAAAAACTGCAACAAATGTCAGTAGAGGTTATCTTCATGCATTGTCCTTCGCACTATCTGATCAGCCACTGGAACAGCAGTTTTAGTCCTTGTGCCAAGTCAGAATCACTTACCCATTTCTTTATCAGTGCAAGGTTGGACAAATAGTGAATTGTGTGTGGTGTCATTTTTTGAAGATATCATTGTGCCTTCTGTTATTGGTGCCATGGCTCTTCCTGTACCTTCTAATCACAGCTGCAACTGTGTTCAGGCTTGTATTCAGAAGCTTATACCCTCTACCATCTCAATGAAGTCCCGCAATCTGGCTACTTACTTGTTCAGGCAGTTCCTTGCCATGTGGAGCCATGTTGTGTTAGACACAACCTAAGAAAACCATTGTGTTGACAAGTTCTTTTACATCCTTGTTCATGCGCTTAACTGGGTAACATGCTGCAAGTCCTGCCAACTTGCTAATTCACGAGTCAAACGGGATATCAGCCATTTGAAAAATGAAATGAGGATGAAGGATGAGCTTCTGTGCAGGGCTAGCTACAGGAAGAAGCTAGAGCAAAGCATGGAAAAGAACAACGTACACAAGGTGTGGAACGGACTGAAATACATCTCGGGTCACGGAGATGGTAGCAGGGATGGTCACCAGGCCGCAGGAGACCAGGCCTGGGTAAATGAACTGAATCTGTTTTTTAAAAGATTTGACTCTACCAAGTCCTTAGCCGTCCCTGGTAGGCTAGTGGTTAAGGTGCAGCGCTCTTGCCGCGGCGCCCCAGGTTCAAATCCAGGTTGTGTCAGGAATGGCATCCGGCGTAAAACGCGTGCTAAATGTCAACATGCGAGTCGTCAGTGTGACCCTAAACAAAAGCCAAAAGTGACTTTTTCTGACTCTACCAAGTCCTTAGCTGCCAGCCTCCCTGTCTCAGGTCAGTCTCCTCGCAGCTGCTCACACCTCAGCCAGACCTTGCCCCTCCTCCCACTGTCATGGAGGGGTTCTCAACAGCCCACAGTCACCTGAGCAGTCACCGCCCACCTGTCCCCTCAGCCTCACTGTGGACCAGGTCAGGAAGGCCACAGGGCCTGTGGTGTCCACATCAGCCTCAGGTAGTGTGCAGACCAGCTCAGTGAGGTGGTCCTGTACATGTTTAATCTGAGTCTTAGCCTGTGGAAGACATCCTGTGTGGTCCCAGTTCCTAAAATAACTCATCCCAAGGAGCCAAACCATTACAGACTCGTTGCCCTGACCTTCTACCTGATGAAGACCACGGAGAGGATTGTCCTCGGCCACCTCCGTGCCCAAGTGAGCTCAGCGCTGAACCTGCTGCAGTTTGCATATTGACCTGGCATCGGGGTAGAGGATGCTATTATCTACATGCTGCATCGAGGCCTGTCTCACCTGGAGTCCCCTGGAAGTATTGTGAGGGTCATGTTCTTTGACTTCTCCAGTGCTTTCAACACAATCCAGCCGTCACTGCTGAGGGGGAAGTTGGAGGGGGCAGGTGTGGACCAACACCTGTCTGCATGGGCTATTAACTATGTCAACAACTACTTCACAATACAGGTAATACAGGGGGTTGTTACTGACTTTGTGGAGTGGTGTGAGAAAAATCACCTGGTCCTGAACACCAGCAAGACAAAAGAGATGGTGATTGACCCCTGGCGGAAATCACCAGTACTCAAGCTGGTGAGCCTTCAGCGCTCAGATATTGAGATTGTGGACACCTTTAAATACCTGGGGGGTCCATCTCAACAATAAACTGGATTGGACCAACAACACAGATGCCCTGTACAGGAAGGGCCAGAGCTGCCTCCACTTGTTGAGGAGACTGAGGTCCTTTGGTGTGCGCGGGGCACTCCTTCAGACATTTTATGATACTGTGGTGGCATCTGCAGTGTTTTACGCTGTTGTGGGCTGGGCAGGAGGTAGCACGGTTAGGGACAGAGAGACTCAACAAGCTGGTTAAGAGAGCTGGTTCTGTCCTGGACTGCTCTCTGGATTCCATCGAGGAGGTGGCGGACAGAAGGATGCTGGTAAAACTAACATCCATCATGCATAACCCCTCCCCTCCCCTGCACTACACAGTGGTGGCTCTGAACAGTTCTTTTAGCACGAGACTGTTGCATCCGAAGTGTAAGAAGGAGCGTTACCGCAGGTCATTCCTCCCCACAGCCATCAGACTGTACAACACATCACTGCAGTGATAAGATAGGTGAAATGCATTGTAAATAGGCTAAAGTGTTATATCTTGTTCCCGATCTCTCTCAAATACTGTACATTGCCCTGCTTTAAGTATTTTTGAGTAGTTCCTCAGGGATTATGGCTGAAACACAGGTTTGTTTCCCCCATTGTGGGATTAATTGTGAGAGTAATATTTGATTGTTCTTGACGTCCTGGTGGTTTTCTTGATTCCTCTCAATACTATTCTTTTTTTTTTTGTCTTGTTCCTAGGTATCTTTTTTTTTACTTGTCTCAGGGACAAACTGTGGGAGGTCTATTCTTGTTCTTGATTGTCTCTGAAATACTATATTTTTGTTTGGTTTTTCGGGTACCTGGATCTTGTTTTCTCAAGATATGTGTGGGGTGTTTATTCTTATGGTGTCATGTTGTTTTGTCCTTTACTTCTGCTGGAACACTGGAATTTCCCCACTGTGGGATCAATAAAGTTCTACCCACTTACCTTATCTCAGTCATTCCATGCAAAAGCATTTCTGTATGGTCTTGTTGAGGCTGTCTGATGCTCAGTTGAACCTGTCAGTGAACCCATGCTGAGTGAAGCCAGGGTCTCAGACGTGTTCCACTCCAGCTCGAGAGTCATTTTTGCACAGGCCTGAAAATAATGTACCCAAAATCTAAGGTTACTCTAACCCTTTTTTAACAGTCATGACCCTGGTCTCGAACAATACAGAAACCACAAACAAAACTAAGTATTCCCAAGGACGGAGTGGTGTATTTTAAAAAGTTCATGTTTGAGAATACGTTCAGGTACTGAAAAACCTGGAGGTACTGCCTCGCTCATAAACATGAGATCACATGGGAGGGCCACTGCCAAATGGCTGACTGCTCCGTCAGAGTGTCCTGTGAACATAACCTGTGGCAGAGCGCTTATGATTTAGAACTCGCTAGAGGGCTAACTGTTTTCCTTGTAGAAATTTTACTGCTTGTGACACTATCAAGAAAACAGGGCACTTCACAAATTCACTTTCAGGTAGAGACTTTCATATCGAATCAAGCAGAATATCCTACATATGCTGCAGTGCCCGTGCTCTGATATCTTTGTAGCTGAACCATCAAGAATTTCAGACCTTAAACCAGTTGTTAGATGTGCAGATATCACCTTTCCTGTTCCTTGCCATTTTGAAGAAAGCAACCAACTATTCTGTTCTGACTCCGCCCTCTTGATTGTCTCCACTTTTTCAGATTTTTCTCATGTTGAATTTCAGAATGAAACGATACACTTGATGTTCAGCACACCACATTTTCAGTGAAAGTGCACATTTGGATTCCTCTGCTCTTGCAATGAAACCAAACTCCTTTGTCCAAGTGGGCTGCATATTTTTTCACCATGCTACTGTTTTATGAATAACCTAATTTAGCAACTTGTAATTATGGGACCACACTAAATATTTAAAGTGACACATACAAATATTGTACTGCAGCGTTTGCTCTCTCATGTGAGATAGAAAATGACTTTGCATGCCCACACTGCCTCATGTGATAGAGGTTAGTGACCCTTGTCTTACAGTATGTGCGTTACCTTACAGTAGAGTATGTGTGTGCGTCATGCTTCCTACAGCCCTCAGATACTTCTCTTTTTGCTTCTTTAATCAGTGCTTCTAGAACAATCTACTGTATTTGAGAAGATTTGGATGGCAAAGTCAGTTACTTCCCTTTTATTCTGTGACTAACACTTATTACCCTGTATTTGAGAAGATTTGGATGGCAAAATCAGTTACTTCCCTTTTATTCTGTGACACTAACACTTATTACCTTTTTAGATTTGTTTTACTTCAGCTTGTTTTTTTTATTTGTCATTTCTACCTGATGGTTTCAGCTAAGTTCAGTATCAAGGAGAATAGAAACCAGTTTGAAAATAAAATGTTTCATTCTAAATGTCTAACATGCAGTGTCTCATTTTGGTCACTTACTCAAAGAGCTTTTCATTCAGATTCAGTCAGTTGGTGAGGTCGGCGTGACTACTCTGAACAGTGGGTTAGCAACTGATTTGTTTTGACAATCACTAAGGCTGAAATGAATCAGGTAGGTTATCTTAACTCTGTTCTGTGTCATTATTTTCTTATTTTCAGAGTGTTTTGTTGTCTTGGACCAAAGGCTTCAGGTTAAGCGGAGTAGAGGGAAAGGATGTGGTCAGTCTTCTGAGGGAATCCATCAAAAAAAGGGGGGTGAGTGTAAAAAATAAGTTTCATTACATACCATTTTTGTACATTTCCAAAAGTGTGCAAATTTATCAAGATCTAGGAGTCTTTATTTTTTACTTTATCGTGTGGTTTTGAAGTTATTGCAAAGAACTACTGATTCATGCAAAAAGCAAGACTAGCACACAAAACTATGAACCCTGCAGACAGTGTAGAGCAAAATGTGAAAATGCAAGACAGGAATTGGCAAAGAAATTGTAGTTCGGCTCCAAATTATAGTTGATGATCTTAAGCACAAAGGACAGGCTCGGGCTATTTCTGTTTTAAATTTCTCTAATTTTAGTTTTAGAAAAAATTGCAAAATGAGCTCAAAGCACTGCTGGCAGCTCTTACTGTCAAGCACCAGGGCACACCCCCACTTACTTCTGTCTCACTTATTATCAAAATGAAGTCCCAGCATCTAGAAGAAGCATATGCATTTTTGACAGGGACACATCTTTCTCTAGCAAGTGGTTGGATAATGATGAGTACTTGAGATCAAACCAATGTATAAAATCCTTCTTGTTCTTAATACCGCTTCTGAAAAATGTGTGTTTTCTCCAATGCAGAAGCTGAGCTGACAATACAAACGTACTAACTTGGTTCATTGGCTGTTTGGGGCAAATAAACTGTCAAATTTGCACAAATGGAGCAAAGCAAATTTAGCTTCACTTTCTATCTGAACACACCTCGATACTCGCCAACAGCAGTTTGGTTATGGCTCATGTGCAAACGCATCTCATCGCCTGCGCGAAGTAAAGGTTGTTCTTTGCAACAGACATGTCCAGCATACAACAGAGTTGGATGCAGTCGTAGTCAGCCACTTTATATGATACTATTGTGTTTTATTTCAGTACCTGTGATGTGGAGAACACCTGAGAGAATCAAAATTCTTTTGAGCTGCTGTCATTTTTGACAGGTGAACCCTGTGCAGTTAAACTGGGGTGATGTCTAGGTGACCTGATGACATGAGCTTTAGGGTAGTCAGAGACTTCACTAATGGCCCCAGCTACATCCAGTATTTTTCTTTCTAAGGAAACACTCTAAAGAATGTTTTACATTAAAAACAAAGCCAGACCTTTTCATTGGGCGGTATCGTTCATCTGCTTGAATTTACTATGTTGCTACAGTCCAGCGGTTGTGCCTGTTAAGCAGGAGTTCTACACTTACTGTTGCCAAGAACTCAGCTTAAATACTTGTTAGTTTTTGTTTCATACAACTGAATTAAATTTCATTGCAGGACTTTGACATTGACATTGTGGCAGTGATCAATGACACAGTGGGAGCCATGATGACCTGTGGCTACGATGACCATAACTGTGAAATTGGCCTCATCGTAGGTAAGTCCAGTCTAACTGTGAATGTGAATCAAATATCAAGGATTGGGGGTGGTCAGTTAGATTTAACATATTCGGTGAGCAGTGGTCGAATGTATTATCACATCTTTTTTTTTTTTCCCCCATATTAATTGAGGCTGATAATTATTGTTTTATACATTTCATATGATTAACAAGGAAAGAGAGTTTCCTTCCTATCTGCCATGATCACTCTGGATGAACTGCAGAGATCTACAGCTGAGGTGGGAGACTCTGTCCATAGGACAACAATCAGTCGTATACTGCACAAATCTGGCCTTTATGGAAGAGTGGCAAGAAGAAAGCCATTTCTTAAAGATATCCATAAAAAGTGTCGTTTAAAGTTTGCCACAAGCCACCTGGGAGACACACCAAACATGTGGAAGAAGGTGCTCTGGTCAGATGAAACCAAAATCGAACTTTTTGGCAACAATGCAAAATGTTATGTTTGGCGTAAAAGCAACACAGCTCATCACCCTGAACACACCATCCCCATTGTCAAACATGGTGGTGGCAGCATCATGGTTTGGGCCTGCTTTTCTTCAGCAGGGACAGGGAAGATGGTTAAACTTGATGGGAAGATGGATGGAGCCAAATACAGGACCATTCTGGAAGGAAACCTGATGGAGTCTGCAACAGACCTGAGACTGGGACGGAGATTTGTCTTCCAACAAAACAATGATCGAAAACATAAAGCAAAATCTACAATGGAATGGTTCACAAATAAACATATCCAGGTGTTAGAATGGCCAAGTCAAAGTCCAGACCTGAATCCAATCGAGAATCTGTGGAAAGCTGCTGTTCACAAACGCTCTCCATCCAATCTCACTGAGCTCGAGCTGTTTTGCAAGGCGGAATGGGCAAAAATTTCAGTCTCTCGATGTGCAAAACTGATAGAGACATACCCCAAGCGACTTACAGCTGTAATCGCAGCAAAAGGTGGCGCTACAAAGTATTAACTTAAGGGGGCTGAATAATTTTGCACGCCCAATTTTTCAGTTTTTTATTTGTTAAAAAAGTTTGAAATATCCAATAAATTTTGTTCCACTTCATGATTGTGTCCCACTTGTTGATTCTTCACGAAAAATTACAGTTTTATATCTTTATGTTTGAAGCCTGAAATGTGGCAAAAGGTCGCAAAGCTCAAGGGGGCCGAATACTTTCGCAAGGCACTGTATATATGCATTTGAGGATTGAATCCTACATAAGTCACAAGGTTTGTTATGGTTCTAAACAATCATTTATATTTGAATTACTAACTTGAAGCTCCCCGAAACCATCATAGTTTAACTTGTTTGTTAGGCTTAAGGCACTGCTGTACATGTCAGTACTGGTGGCAAAGCGTGTAGAGCTGCTCTTCCACGTTTCCCCTGCATTCTACATAAAACTGAGGCAAAAAAAGTGTTTAATACCAGGAGTCAAATGGCTTTAGTAGCATTTACAATGTCCTAGCTGGCATAATGTCTTAAACTCTAAAATATGATACTGCACTCGTTGCGTCCCTGCTTCTTTTTGAGCTCATATTGGGTAATGACTACGAAGGCTGACAGGAGCGACTGCTGCTGGGGTTTGAACTTAAGAGGCTTGTTTGTGTGCTTGGCTGCTTGTCCTGCAGTTTAGCAGCACAGGCTTTGGCTTTCTGTATATTCAGTGGGAAGGTAACATTACAGTTTGTGGAAAATCTTTATCACTCTTGCCAAATATTTTGCAATGGCTATTGCGCCAGAAACCATTTCATAATCACTGATATTGTGTCACCTCTCTGTCACACTTGCCACAACATATTTGGTTGTGTTTTTTTTTTTTTTTTTTTTTTTTTGTTCTGTTTGCATTGCATGTCTATATTTGTTTTTTGTGTTTGTCTTGTTTTGTATTTGCCACACATTTGTATTTAGTTTTGTTTTTTACATTTGCTGTGCTTTTTTTTTTTTTTTTTTTTAAAGCCGTTTTACACTGACATCCGCACACGTATTGTCATCAAAATGTAGTACGTGGTTCCCACCTGCTGGCTCACCACCCTTTGTGCACAGAGTGCATCTCCCCTTTGTTTGAGTACTTAAATGTGAGTACTTGCTGATATTGAGTACCAGTACAAATGCTAAATAATAATGTAGCGTTTCTATTGTAAAAATGACAATTACCATAAAGTGCAGTGACTTTAGAAACATCTTTTATTTTCATGAAGTTTACTTTCTGATTGTGATTAAATAAAAGATTGGGAGGCTGCACAAATGACCTTAAAACATTTTGTGATAACTAACACAGCACTGCCACCCCTCCAATCAAATATAACATGTAACTGACCAAATATCCGTAACCTACCACACAACATACTGTAATGTGACCTTCTGTTAGGATGAAATTATTTCACAATGCCTCTTCTAGAACATCAAAGCTTAGGAGAATGTAATATCACACTTGGCAGCTTAAGTTTTCTTTACCAAGGTTGCAGCTCTCACTTTAAACTGGCTACTGTCTGGGCACTCAGACATTCAGAACTATTTACTGCCATCAGCAGAATGAGCACCGTGTGCTTGCTCAACAAGTGTTTGTTTTATTACTGTCTGTGTTACTGTTGGATTTCCATCCATTATCTATACCACTTATTCCTGAATCGGGTCAGCCAATCCCAGCTGTCACTGGGCGAGAAGCAGGGTACACCCTGGACAGGTCGTCAGTCTATCACAGGGCGTGACTACTGTTGGATTTTGTGGAGCATATCGATGTTGACATCTTGGTAAAATACGACCTCGTCTCTGCTCCACTATGTATCTATGAGCGCCCCTTGGGCCCTCCCTCTCCCTGTCAGACAGAGCAGTGAAGCAGACCTGGCAGTCTGCTTTACTTTTGTCATCATCACTTAGATTAAAATATCCCAGAACTGCTCTCCTCTGCCTAACAACAAGCTCAACCAGCAAGAGATTGACATAATGTTGCTATTAAGTGGTATTGTGCACAGTAGTGTTGTCAGTGATATTGAGTATCGATATTTTTCAAGGTATTTTATCAAAGTTAGAAATTCCAGTATTGTGACAATGCTATTGCACAGTATCGGATCACTTTTATGAGCAGGAGTACAAGTACAAGAGGGTGGTGTCAGACCCAATACCAAATACTGTATCAGTGCATCACTAGCTAAAAGAAACCACTGTGCTGCTGCAGTGTTTGACATAACTCTTTTCAAACCCTTTTAAATCAGATTACCAAAGTATAATATTGGTGCCAAATTGTTATTGTGAGCTTCTGCTACTGTTCTTAGTGCAGTCTGGAATATTACTACTGTACAGGCAGTTCTGAATTGGTACATACAGTATGTGTATATTTTGTCCCAGACTGCTTAAAATCATTACTGTGGGTCAAAGGTTACACACCTGGTCATATTAGGGCTCATTATGTGACAATTTGTGCCCACAAACCCTCCTTTCTCAGAACAGTGTGGTTGGATACCTAAAAGAAATATCTCAAATGAAGAGAAAACCGTCATAAATAATTGAAGGCTTTGTACACCCACAGTCTACCCACATAGGTGTTTTCACTTATTTTGCCTGATTAGACCTCTCCTTGAGATTGTGTGGCCCTGTATACACGGCTTAATTGACATGTGCTTCACTCTCCAGTTGTACCTGTTAAGGTGGGACAAATCCCATTGATCATTCTCAAATGTTGAGGTAATTTTTACAAGACATTTTAACTTGTCTTTGATATTACACATTGTTCTATTCATGTGTCCCATTAAGCCATGATATTGACAGAAAGGCAGCACGAATATTATGTTAAAATGTGTGGGCAGCTGAAAACAAATGGCTAATTGAATCATTACAAAAGAACAGACAGTAGGTTCTGTTTTCCTGAAACAGGGTGCAGTGGTCTGCACTTTTGCCTGCAGTGTCTAAACTGAAGGTGAGGGTGCATATAGGTATGTCCCACACAGACCACTGGCATTGACGTTACCTGGCGCATTGTGGAGCAGAGGGGTAATACATTATTAGAGGGAGGATGCATCATGAGTGTCTGGGGTCGGCGCTGGCTTTAGTTATGTCCAATCAAACCACCTCTTCTCATGAAAAGCACCACAGAAATCAATTATGTACTTCATTCAGAAATTGTGATGATGGAAAATATTTATAGTCAAAGTACTGCATATAAATATTGACTCGGTACTCTACTGATATGACTGACCAGCGTTTGTGCATTGTCCACTAACCATCAGCAGTTATTGAGTGTAATTGATTCAGCTGCATCCAGTGTGTGAAATACACAGGAGTCTCGGGGTTATTTGCATGTGACTTTAAATACATTTTTTAAAAATAATACAATATAAATGTAGTGCAATTCATTTATGTTGTTGTACCAAAAGTGATCCAGAAACTGACTGAGATTCATGGGATGACATGGCCTGTTAAAGATGCATTGCTCACTTTATCTCCACCAACAGCTGCTTTTGTTAGGAACAGACCTTCATAAAATGCAAAAACAGACACGCGTGTCCCTTGAAGTAGTAACACTGGTATGTCTTTGTGAAACGTGATTGAGGAAATTGTAACTGAATAGTAAGGGACAGCAGCGCACAGTGAGGTCTGACTGACTTTACCTGCTGCCTGTAATATGATTTATCATCACATCTGTAGGGTGTTTGTTATTTATAATGGCTCATGAGCTGCTTTCATGTGTTATTTTGTGCGTGTAATTATTGTACATTGATTTGGTATCGGATCTGCCATTCTGGTTGGAGCATACCACCTCAGCTCCACAGCACCCCAACCCCCATCCCATAATAAAATTTATAAATTAATTCAGATATTTTACAACAAGCTATGACCTTATGAAATAGAAACTTGTGACCCAGGTACAGGGTGTTCTTCCAGATACTTTTTCCAAATTGTTAATTTACTTTAACTTCAGTGTGTTCTCTATACATTTACATTAGTGGAGAAAATATTATGTATGAATAATGGGGACCAATATGATGTGTAGCATCAAGACTGGTCATACTGAAGAACAAAATTTAAACCTTTTAAACAAAAGAGGAGGAGGAGTAGTAGTAGTGGTGGTAGTAGGCTGTTGACCCAGTGTGCCTGATGGTGAGGTCTAATATATTGTAATTGTGGAGGCTGCAACTGGGATTGTTCAGTTCAAACATAACTGACAGACACTGCAAACATGTTTCTTCGTTCTCACTTATGTGTGGAAGAGAAGTGCTGAGCACTTATGCTAACATTTCTTCCTTCAAGGAACGGGGACCAATGCCTGCTACATGGAGCAGATGAGGAACCTTGAGCTGCTGGACGGTGACGAAGGGCGGATGTGTGTTAATACGGAATGGGGCGCTTTTGGAGATGATGGAGCCCTTGAGGATCTGCGCACCGACATTGACCGGGAAATCGATGCAGGCTCTCTGAACCCTGGGAAGCAGCTGTGAGTATCTTTGAGCTTCAGTATTTAAAGCAAGCAACTATTGTAAAATGAAGTGAGGCAAAGTCAGCAGGCTCTTGATGTATATTTATTTTTACCCTGCCCACTGAGCATACTTTTGTTTCAAACATTTCTTTGTTCTTATAACATTAATTAGACTGCCTCTGAAAATATCCCTCTCCTCAGCCTACAGAGTTTTTGAGGGTTGTTTTTTATCATTTAAGTAACTTTCATAAGTTGAACTTTAAACACAGTTTCACAGAGAGGGCTGAAAGGACTCAGATTAAAAAAAAAAAAAAAAAAAAGGCATATTCAATACTTAATTCAGGTTAGACACTTGAGCCAAATTTAAAGAAACTCAATCAAGTTGTTCCTCGCTTTCACAAGAATGGGACGAACACAAGGTCACAGTGACCTTGACCTTTGACCACTAAAATCTAGTCCGTTCATCACTGAGTCCAAGTGGACACTTGAGCCAAATTGGAAGAAATTTCCTCAAGGCTTTCATGACGTATTGCATTCATAAAAATGGAAAGGACAGACAACCTAAAAACATAATGCCTCCAGCCACAGCTATCGCCGGCATGGAGACATAAAAATAGATGCAAGGTGAGGTGCATTATCTTGGTCCTAGACATATATTTTGTGATGTGTCCTCATAGTTCTTCAGTGTCAAGTGATGCTGATGAAATATCAGAGTAATAAGCCTGTTTTGCTGATAATCAGCACAAACTGTTCATTAATTTAATATATAACATGTCGTCATTATGCTGTTGAATTACCGGCACTCAGATTCAATAACTGCAGCATTAAATGTTTTGATACATCATTCACACACATCGCTGTCTCACAGGTGGCAAGGTTGTACCCAGTGTGCGAGTGTGCTCCTCTTGATATCTGTCAGGAGGGTGAAAGGGCCTTTTTACCCATTACATTTCTTCTTTTCCTTTAGACAGTTGTATATCAGGAGCTGTCCTTGAAACATCACTGAGTTCAGTTTCCAGTTTACAAGTCAAAAGTTCAGCATCTGACAGGCTTGTCTGAATATGTCTTTGTGTAGGTGCAATACAAAGCTTGGGAGCAGCCAGTGTGTCTCATAAATTTTGGAATTTTAATTAATAAATTATCTCAATATATCAAAAATCCAGTATAGTTGGTAGTGTTTAAATGTAGTTTTAATTGTAGTATAACCACATTTACATCATCAATAGAATAGTAATCTAATGAAGATTGTTGGAGTATTCTGATGGCAGACGCTGACTTAAGATAATAGAGCAAAAACTACATAACCTCCAGTCATAAAAATAGTACAGGGTTTACATAATAAAGCACCAATCATGCAACCAGAATGGGAAGGCTGCGTTTCTAACTTGGCCTATAATCAAACCTTTCTGTGTAAACTCACTCTTTTTAACAGCGAGATCTTAACATCAGAGTGGAGATGTAGGCAGCAGATTAGTAGAGAGACAGAGGGAGCACATGCACGATCTGTCTGAATAGAAAGAAACTTGATGATGAGCAACAAGTAACCATCATAGACGAGACTAAAATTAGGATGAAATCACAGTTAAAGCCTACTAAACATTCAGCGTGAATATGCAATCGTTTAGCATCAAGTAACACACAGTCAGGTAAACTAACTCTGCCCAGATTACGTGAGGATCACACAAATGTGAGCGTCCGTCGTTTCCAGCAAATTTCTCAGGGATGCATTTCATATCGGCAGGGTATTCTAACTCATCGGCTGGATCAGACTTTGTGTAAAGTAATGGAGACAGCCTTATATTTCTCCTGGGACTGTGTGGCTTGCAGTCAAAATTAACTCTTTAAAAGGGCTGAATCAGAGATGAACTCAACAGAGTTATCTTACTGGGTATAAACTAAACTGTTAACATGATGACTGATGTCTTAATTATCATGAATTTGATGTTTTATCTTCTTTGTGTTGGTTTGCAGCTTTGAGAAAATGATCAGTGGAATGTACATGGGGGAACTGGTCCGCCTGATCCTGGTGAGGATGGCCAAAGAGCAGCTGCTGTTCCAGGGCAAGACTACAGCGGAACTCCTCACCACTGGAAGCTTCAGCACCAACTACATCTATGCCATTGAGAATGACAAGTTAGTTAGTATTTGTGTTCAACTGAGAAGCTGAGAAAACTACAGTATGTAACAGTGGTATTGAATAGCAGACAAATGATGTCCACTTAGAACTGGAAAATAATAAAATGGCCTCAAGGTCACAAAACACTTCACTGAATTGTTTAAATTTGGCCTAGCATAATATCACCTGGATGAATGAGATGACTCTACAGACAGTATCATTATGTGTTTGTCAAGCTTACAATCACTGGCTGACTGAAATACACAAAGAACACGTACAAGGTCAGGAAAGGGCTGAAAAGATCTCTTTGCATTGCATTTGAAATTAAACTCATTATCTGTAGGCCAGTGGCTTATAGCAGAAGATGTGGGCAGGTCATGCTGTCGTTTTAAAATGATTCTAAGCAATGGTTGTGATTTTGTTTTCTGCATTTCTTGCAGACATGAGGAAGGTCTGGCGAGTACTGAGAAAGTGCTTCGGGATCTCGGTCTGGACCTGTCACTTGAGGACTGCATAGTCACTCAGAGGGTTTGTCAGATAGTATCTACACGTGCTGCACACTTGTGTGCTGCCACTCTAGCTGCAGTACTACGGCAGATCCGGGATAACAAAGCAGCAGAGAAACTGCGTACCACTATTGGAGTGGATGGCTCTGTTTACAAGAATCATCCGGAGTAAGTGATTTTGGATGCCGTTACACCTATCTTGGTGTGTCTCAGAAACACATGCATACCTTTGAGCTGTGGAGCTCTGATTATAAAGGGAACTTCATTGCAGGGGTGGAGTAACTGTGGGACTGAATCATTATCATCATTATCATGTCAGTTGATACAAAGAATTCATTCATGTTGAATGTGCACATTCACTATTGATTCTGCCTATGTTCATGTTCCTGAATCTTTTTGGACTAAGGAATAAAACCAGAGCACACAGGAAACCCATGTGATCACAGGGGCATTAGGCATTCACTTTCTGCACATTCATTCTCGTAGCCTCAATCAGGCAAACAGTTTATAGACTATGGAGAGAGAGACAGATAATATACAGTACAGTGTAAAAGAGCACATAAAAGTCCAGGAAGTCATTCTGATCGAGTGAGGAGCGAGCCTCTGTTTACCAGTTGCCTACATGTTGATGTTATGCTTGCTTGCTATTTCAGCATTTTTTTTGAAAAAAATAATGATTTAATTTTGTGTGCTCAATCCTCAGGATGCTTTTTAGTTGTTACAAAAACAGGTACACCCTTATTCCTATTTATCACAAAATAACTTGGTGTAAGTGCTTATCTTTTTTAGTTGTAGCATTTTGTGTTCTTACTGAAAGTGAATGTTGGAGAGGAAGAGGGATGGCTAGATGAAGAGTTTCTGCCATTCAAACAAAGAATGTGCAGTGTGCTTTACAAACAAAACAGCACTCTGTGCAGACCTTGACTAAGGCATGTTATATTTTTATTCATTTGCATTTTCAGACTCCATAATATGGGCCAATAGTCAATCTCAAAAGACAAAACATAAATCAGCATCTTTTGTGAATTTGAAGTTTAATGACTGTGCATGCATGAGAAAATGATAACGTAAGTTACTGGGTATAAACTAAACTGTTAACATGATGACTGATGTCTTAATTATCATGAATTTGATGTTTTATCTTCTTTGTGTTGGTTTGCAGCTTTGAGAAAATGATCAGTGGAATGTACATGGGGGAACTGGTCCGCCTGATCCTGGTGAGGATGGCCAAAGAGCAGCTGCTGTTCCAGGGCAAGACTACAGCGGAACTCCTCACCACTGGAAGCTTCAGCACCAACTACATCTATGCCATTGAGAATGACAAGTTAGTTAGTATTTGTGTTCAACTGAGAAGCTGAGAAAACTACAGTATGTAACAGTGGTATTGAATAGCAGACAAATGATGTCCACTTAGAACTGGAAAATAATAAAATGGCCTCAAGGTCACAAAACACTTCACTGAATTGTTTAAATTTGGCCTAGCATAATATCACCTGGATGAATGAGATGACTCGACAGACAGTATCATTATGTGTTTGTCAAGCTTACAATCACTGGCTGACTGAAATACACAAAGAACACGTACAAGGTCAGGAAAGGGCTGAAAAGATCTCTTTGCATTGCATTTGAAATTAAACTCATTATCTGTAGGCCAGTGGCTTATAGCAGAAGATGTGGGCAGGTCATGCTGTCGTTTTAAAATGATTCTAAGCAATGGTTGTGATTTTGTTTTCTGCATTTCTTGCAGACATGAGGAAGGTCTGGCGAGTACTGAGAAAGTGCTTCGGGATCTCGGTCTGGACCTGTCACTTGAGGACTGCATAGTCACTCAGAGGGTTTGTCAGATAGTATCTACACGTGCTGCACACTTGTGTGCTGCCACTCTAGCTGCAGTACTACGGCAGATCCGGGATAACAAAGCAGCAGAGAAACTGCGTACCACTATTGGAGTGGATGGCTCTGTTTACAAGAATCATCCGGAGTAAGTGATTTTGGATGCCGTTACACCTGTCTTGGTGTGTCTCAGAAACACATGCATACCTTTGAGCTGTGGAGCTCTGATTATAAAGGGAACTTCATTGCAGGGGTGGAGTAACTGTGGGACTGAATCATTATCATCATTATCATGTCAGTTGATACAAAGAATTCATTCATGTTGAATGTGCACATTCACTATGCCTATGTTCATGTTCCTGAATCTTTTTGGACTAAGGAATAAAACCAGAGCACACAGGAAACCCATGTGATCACAGGGGCATTAGGCATTCACTTTCTGCACATTCATTCTCGTAGCCTCAATCAGGCAAACAGTTTATAGACTATGGAGAGAGAGACAGATAATATACAGTACAGTGTAAAAGAGCACATAAAAGTCCAGGAAGTCATTCTGATCGAGTGAGGAGCGAGCCTCTGTTTACCAGTTGCCTACATGTTGATGTTATGCTTGCTTGCTATTTCAGCATTTTTTTTTTTGAAAAAAATAATGATTTAATTTTGTGTGCTCAATCCTCAGGATGCTTTTTAGTTGTTACAAAAACAGGTACACCCTTATTCCTATTTATCACAAAATAACTTGGTGTAAGTGCTTATCTTTTTTAGTTGTAGCATTTTGTGTTCTTACTGAAAGTGAATGTTGGAGAGGAAGAGGGATGGCTAGATGAAGAGTTTCTGCCATTCAAACAAAGAATGTGCAGTGTGCTTTACAAACAAAACAGCACTCTGTGCAGACCTTGACTAAGGCATGTTATATTTTTATTCATTTGCATTTTCAGACTCCATAATATGGGCCAATAGTCAATCTCAAAAGACAAAACATAAATCAGCATCTTTTGTGAATTTGAAGTTTAATGACTGTGCATGCATGAGAAAATGATAACGTAAGTGATTATAAACTATACATTCAAACAAAATCTCTTTTTTTTTATTTTTTATTTATTTATTTTTTTTTTTCCCCTAGGTTTTCTCGGAGGCTCCACAAGATGGTACGGCGACTGGTACCAGACTGTGATGTACGGTTTTTGCAGTCGCAGTATGGCAGTGGCAAAGGTGCAGCCATGGTAACAGCAGTAGCCTACCGTCTTGCCACACAACATGCAGAGCGTCAGCGCATCCTCAACACCTTGCGTTTGAGCCGTGCCCAGCTACTGGACGTAAAGGAGCGAGTAAGGAAGGAAATGGTGCGAGGCCTGTCAAAGCAGACCCATGAGCAGGCTAGTGTGAAGATGCTTCCCACCTATGTCAGATCAACACCAGATGGAACAGGTAGCTTTAAGAGAAAAACAGACCTTCCACTTGACTAATTCAGTTTTTTTTCTATAATTTATGTGTGTATTCATTATTCTTTTCATAATTGTCCTCATCAGAACATGGCGACTTCTTGGCTTTAGATCTTGGTGGCTCTAGCTTTCGGGTTTTGCTGGTGCAAGTGCGAAGTGGAAAGAGACACAAAGTAGACATGCACCAAAAGATCTACAGCATTCCACAGGAGATCATGCAGGGCACAGGGGAAGAGGTAAAACACCTATGGTGGTTGAAGCACTTTCTTTTTTCCATATGATAACTGATTACAGAGACTTAAAAGATGAAATGGAGGAACCTCTGTCATGTTTGAGGCTGAATCATCTCTTTCAATGTGTGACACTGATCCTCTGACAAAAAAGTGGTGGTATTGGTCATTAAGAAAAACTATTAAGGCTGTTCATGTTTTGCATGTCCACTATGGTCGAGTCGCATAATTTTCATCATCTACCCTCTGTGTGGATGTCCGCATGCAGGCCAGAGGTTTGTGTCTGCGCAGATGGTCTGCACAGCACAAGCAAAGACTGCATGGAAAACATTGACGTTTGCGGACAGAAGGCAGACCCTTGATTAGAAATGTGTATAGAAATGCATGCGCGTCCCTTGTCCATGTCCGTGTATGTGCAAACCATGTCTGTCCCTTTAGTAGTAGTAGAAAAGAGTTGTGTCTGATGCATTGGGTAACAGCGGAGCACTGCTCAGTGCATTAAATGCCAAGTTCATTACCTCCGCCAAGGAGGTTATGATTTTGGTTTTGTGTGTTTGTTTGTTGGTCAGTAAGATGATGGACAAGCAGCTGGATGAATCACAGCACATTTGGTACAGACATTGGTGGGGACCAACGCTAGAAGTGATTAGATTTTGGCTGAAAAAGGTCATGGTCACAAAAAAAATAACCAAAGACAATCTCACACACAGATTCTCATCTTTAACATGGGGAAAAATTTTTACAGAATTTGCATATCTGTCAAAAATGATCAATTATTTTGACACACATACCGTATTTTCCGCACTATCAGGCGCACCTAAGAGCCTTAAATTTTCTCAAAAATCGGCCGTGCGCCTGATAATCCGGTGCGCCTTATGTGTGCACTGAGTTCCAAAATCTGTAAAAATGTTGTTGTGCGACTTTGGTAAGCGCTCCGCTTGATTGACCGCTGACACAGGGACGTAATACGTACACTACGTACGCTGGCAGCGATAAACCAGTCTAAACCGGTCTAAGGACCCCCGAAAATGGCACCAGTGAAGAGACATGCTTACGAGGCACAATTCAAACTACAGGCTATCAGTTACGCGGTTGTAAATGGGAATAGAGCAGCTGCGAAAGAATTCAAAATCAATGAATCTATGGTTCGGAAGTGGATTTGTGGGAGAAGATTGATTAAAAAATAATGTGAGTGTATTGTTAAATAGTAGAATAAAGTTCAACTAAACTCACTGTTTTGCTTCCGTTACGTTTTAGCATGCGCCTTATAACATGGTGCGCCTTATGTATGGGTTAAGTACAGAAATAGACCCCGTAATTGAGACTGCGCCTTATAATCCGGTGCGCCTTATGGTGCAGAAAATACGGTACTTGTAATGTCTACGAAATTTCATCCAGATCTGATCCGGATTCAGGATCTAATGGCCATTTATATTTAATATAGAAATACTAATTTAACACATATTTTTTGCCATAAAAGAAATAGTCCCATGATAGTTTGACCCTCATAACATGACTGCCTGACCATGAAAGCCTACTGCTGGCATTTGGAATGATGCTGATATCATTATTAGTTTGAAAGTTATTCAAGAAAATGGTAGACATGACAGATGTTCACTTGTTAGTTCTGAAGCAGCTCTAATGTGCAGCTGGAACACTGGGGTCCTTGCCGACAGACTGCTGTGCTCTAAATGATGCATAGCTTCCTGCTAATAGAGCTGACTTGGTCTGCTAATGAGTAGTCACAACTCACAAAATGTCTGAACTAATTTCTAAATTGGCGTTACCTGGATAGAGTGACCACTTATTCTCAATCTAAGTGGTTACTTTGTCACCTGAAAAGATGCCAAAACTTAATAAAATAATACATAATAATACCGCTCCTACGGGTGAAAATGTTAACATCTTTGAGCCTGCCTGAAAATCTCAGGCTCTCATCCAGCTGTCGCTGCATAGAGTAGATCTTTCCACAGCTGTGGGCTGTGGTCTCACTGGGCTCCTTCAGGCCCCATTTTTACACAGTGAATAAGCAGCTGTCACTAACGCAGGCTTGGTCTCCTTATGTGCTCAGCAGTGCAGCTACAAACTTTGGCCAGTGGGGGCTCACATACAGTCAGCAACCTTACCAGCACTAACATTGGTGAATAATCTTTTAAAATATTTTTGTATCCAAATTATGATACAGATCAGCACCAAAATCCAATCAATTATTTCATGCCCCGTATCCATCCATCCATGTGCCTGCTGGATGTGGCAGCTGTTTAAATACCGCTTCCTTAATAGGGTGGCAGGGTCCCAGCTGACATGGGGCGAGAGGCGGGGTACCCCCTGTACAGGTCGCCAGTCTGTCACAGGGCAACATGTAGACAAACAACCACACTCACTTCTACAGGCAATTTAGTGTCACCAGTCAACCTAAGCTGCATGTCTTTGGACTGGGGGAGGAAACCGGAGTACCCGGAGGGAACCCACACAGGTGCAGGGAGAACATGCCAACTCCACACAGGAGGGTCCCAGGTCAGCCCGGGCTCGAACCAGGAACCTTCTTGCTGCGAGGCAATGGCGCTAACGACCGCTGTCCCGCCCACCCATTATTCTACCTCTTCAAAAAATTTCATCCAAATCTGTTCATTACTTTTTGAATTATGCTGTTAGCAAATGGAGGTACTAAATGGCGGTCGGAGAGACGGGTCCCTGCGTAGAGCAGTGCTGACAAACACTGACTGCAGAGGGCCCTCTGCTGGCACTTGTGCACAGACGCATGGAGTAGCATTCACAAGCAGCGAGTGCAGTTTGCAGTGGTGTTTATAAAGCACAGAATGGCAGGAAAAAAGCTGAAAAATTATAACCCAAAAGGCTTTCAATATGTCCCTGTTTGATTTTTTTTTTTTTTTGGGGAGGATGAAATGTCTTGTCATAATCTTGTATACTGTATATGTAATAATTTGGTCTCGGTCTCTTGCAAAAGAGATCGTGATCTCACTCAGCTTTCCTAACTAAAAGCTTAACTGACTGTTGGTGTTTTTGCATGCAGTTATCTTTTTGAAGATATGCACCTTGAGTAGATCAAAAAAATTTTATTAAGAAGAATTTCCCTCGGATTAATAAAGTAAATCTCATCATCTTGTATTGTTGTTGATTAGAGGGACATATACCGTATTTGTCATGTCCACCAGTACATTGTTTTTCTAAAAAGCCAACATTTTGAATTACACTGTTATATCCCTTGCTTCATTCTTTGCTTGTGTTACTCACACAAGAGATATACAAAGAGAATCTGTCATTGGGTAGAAACATGCTTTTCTCTCCTCTTGTTCCATGTTAAACTGCTAAATATACAAAACAGAGGGTAGCATGCCTGACAGATGGTACATTGTCACATGCTAATGTTTCCGTCTCTTATGTGCCAGCTTTTCAACCACATTGTGCACTGCATTTCTGACTTTCTGGAGTACATGGGCATGAAAGGAGCGTCTTTGCCTCTGGGATTTACGTTCTCCTTCCCTTGCCATCAAAACAGACTTGATCAGGTAAAGTTCTATGCATATCATAAGTGAAAGATTGGCTATGTTGTCACATTGAATGTACTTGTATAGTTGAATATTTTGATCAACTTGGTGTAAATAGCAGTACGCTAGCAGAAGTAATATCTGTTTGTTCCCTACAACACATGCATTTGTTCCCTTTCCTTTTCTGTGGGATTTCCCCAAACTAGTTAACCAATTGGATTTTAACTGCGAAGGGGTACAACCAGTGGTTTTCATCAGTATATGCAAAGAGGGCACTGCTTCTTTTTTTGCTTCAGTTCAGTTTGTGTAGTGCCAAATCACATTTATTAAAGAAGGGCAGTGTCTGGGCTCTCGTATGAGTGTACAGAGAAATGACAAAGAATGAAAGGATACTCTCAATCTTTATAGGCATGGCAACAGGGTGTGGAGCCAAACTATCTGCAAGATGTGACGACTGTCTAGACTGCTAGATGGGATATGTTCCACCCTGAATGCATAACTTGAAGATTTTGTTTTCTATTCATTAAGATATTTCTTAATGCATCAGGAGTTTTGTCACCTCACTGCTGTACAAAAGCCACAAACAAGAACTAAGAACGCTGATCTGGTGCTTTAGCTGAATGAAGTAATGCAGATGAAGAGAAATGTAGCCTTACAAAGTGTAACATTAAGGCACAGGCTGATGATTTACTACAGTTAGAAATATCTTGTTTATTGAATGTAGCCCTATACGTGTGTAAGTTCAGCAATTGATCATCTTTAACAAATGCCTTTGTCTACGGAAAACACCAAGGTTATTGAACCTCTTATTTTATTTATCTTTTAATAATTAAACCAAGCTCACAACAGCTATTGCAGTGACCCTCATACCCCTTATATGCAAGTCGGATGTTACTCTTTGTTACAGAGATGACCTCTGTCATTTGTGTAGGGTATTCTTCTGAAGTGGACCAAGGGTTTCAAAGCCACCGGCTGTGAGGGAGAAGATGTTGTCATGTTGCTTAAAGATGCTGTCCGTCGGAAACAGGTCAGTATGTACATTTTTAGATGTATTCTCTGATTTTATTGTGTTGTAATTGTGTTTAATTTTGGGTATAGATTTTTAAAAGGATTTAATTGCCTGTTAAGATACCCATAATGATAAAGTGACAACCTGTTTTTAGAAATGTTTGCAAATTAATTAAAAATCCAAAACTGAAACATTTAAATTATAAAGGTATTCAGACCCTTAGTGTAGAATAGCATGAAACAGCACATTGTTGAAGTCCCTTTTTTTTTGGTTATTGAAATTTATAATTGTAAATAAGTTTGTTGTCACTCCTTTCAGGACTTTGACTTGAACTTTGTGGCGATGGTTAATGACACAGTGGGAACCATGATTAGCTGCGGCTATGAGGACCCTAAATGTGAGGTGGGGCTCATCGTAGGTAAGTCTGTTCCCCCCCACCCACACACACACACACACACCCCTTCCTTGTTGCCAAACATTACAGTGAGCTTATTGTGAGCACACACTCAGTTTTGTTTGTTTTTGTTTTTTTGATCAGATATATTTTCACTTTGGAATGAAACGGTTTATATTTGGCTGATGTTTTCCTTTTATGACACTGCTAGTAATGCCTCTAAACATCTGTATCTCAGGCACAGGGACCAATGTCTGCTACATGGAGGACATGAAGAACATTGAACTGGTGGAGGGTGATGATGGTCATATGTGTGTCAACATGGAGTGGGGAGCATTTGGTGACAGTGGTGAACTTGATGACTTCTGCACCCAGTTCGATCACATGGTTGATGCCTCCTCTAACTACCCCGGGAAACAGAGGTACTGGATGGGTGGCATGACATACTGTGGTACATCTGCTGTGATATGTCTATGAAAAGTGTGCCAACATTTATATTGAACGGCATCACTTATAGTAACAAATGTAGAATAAACTAAGAGACAGACTTAGTTAACAGCAGCGAGCAGCTACTGTCAGACTCTCTGTGTCTGCACTGGAAAGACGGGGAGTCCAGCGGAGCTTTGACGGTCATTAGAGGAATGTTTGTCCTTTTGAGGCTGTGCGTGTGCCTGTGTTGGTGCTCAGCTAAAGACTGTGTGCGCGCAAGGGAGTGTTGGTACATAGATACAGAGACGTGTATCACACAGAAGCTAGTTTTGGGCAGAAAAGGTAGTTTTTATATATGCACTATGTGTGCAGTGGGACTAATCACCTTTTACCTTTTCTCAGATATCAATTTGCATGGTCAGTGCAAAACCTCAGTTCTTTGTGACATAGTAATTGTTGTCCATGCATCCCATTGTCCACAGTGGCACTGTGTAATGGAACCAGTAGACACAAACAAGGCAGGCGATTTGAATCACAGATTTTTATGAGTAACCATTTCAGCCTTGTATATTAGATACATTTGTGTGCATACCTAAGATGTAAAAAAGTATATAAAATGTTTTTAAAAAGTGTAATATTAGTGTTATTTAATGTGATTAAATAACGGCATTAATGTAAAGTGCGCTTGGTGAGATTATGGAGTGAATCTCATAGTGTCATCTTTAACGTCATCTAAGATGTATTTGCTCACTCAGTCACTCAGATTAAATTCCTGGAAATATCTGACAGCAGCAGCAGGACAGGGACACTGTGCACAGGCTCTAATCAGAGATACAGCAGTGCATTTACAAGTACTCAATCCTTGTGTAAGAAAACTAATAATGTGGATTTCCAGTAGGTGCTTATGTCCATTTGGGCAAAGAGTTTTTGCAGCTCATGCTGTTTATGAGTTCTGTTTCCAAGTTGTAAGGATTATACTGGAGTATAACTATGATCATTGGATTTGATTTATCAATATCTTGCTAAATTCGTCTGTTTAAAAAAAAAAAAAAATCATCTGCAGTGTGTAAGTGTAGATAGACAGGAACAGAAATGTGGTCAGGGAGAAGGAGTGTTATGCCATCCAGCACAGCTCCCCTGACCAGGATTCGAACCTATAGTGCTACTAGAGGACAAGCACGCCACTGGTTACCTTTTAAGATATTTTAATAGAACTATTTTGGGCTGATGTTAGTTCATCCTGTCAGATACCCAGAGTTTTCTCCCTACAGCAATGAAGCCACCGGTCGCTGTCAACACCTCCTGGTATTGGACACTTCTGGGCAGATTAATCATACTGTCACTCCAAATGCAGTTTGCCGTTGGAGTCTGGACATCATTAAATCCTGACAGTGCATTAATAAGAGGTCCTTATAACACCAGGCAAGATTGTAGCCTTTGATAATTTATTCGACCTGAACACAGCCCCTAATCACCTGTGCAGATGGTTCCTTTTGTTTGCTTCCTGTAGCTTGACTAATGAAAGGAAGAACAACCTTATTATGTTTTTCCCTGGAAAGAAGCTTGTGGGGGATGTCGCACCTCCTGATAATTTATTCTACTTAAACCCAGCAAAGGTGTACTGTGCTGACAGTATACCTATGAGCTATTCTGTTTGAATGAATTAGATCTGAGTTTCAGTTTGATTATAGATTTTGTGACCATAGCATAAAATAAAGGTTGATAGTAAGGTAGAAATTATTAGTATTATTGATGTGAATGTTACCAATGTGTGGCTGGGGAAAGTTTTCAGTCTGTGTGTCTCTTCTCGGACAGGTATGAGAAGATGATCAGTGGCATGTACCTGGGGGAGATAGTGAGGAATGTGCTAATAGACTTTACTGCTAAAGGTCTGCTGTTCAGAGGCAAACTCTCTGAGCGACTCAAGACTCGGGGTATCTTCGAGACAAAGTTCCTGTCACAGATTGAAAGGTGAGTGTTCAGGCTGTTCAGGCTCCTCCACTCTCCTGTTTCCCATGGTACTGTAGGTAGATGGCAAAGCTGCCATGTGAGATCACAATAGTCAAATCGACACAGTAGTAGGCTGTTACAGTTTTACAGTGTTCATATAACCATCACTTAAATAACAGAGGGGATAAGTGCTGAGGGGTAGAGAGAACAGAAGCCAAGACCACATGAGGGTACATGAAGTTACATCCACTGTTTGCTGTTTCTTTTAGTTCATGAAATTTAAAGTAACATCACATTAACATTTGAAGAAATGCATATTTTAATGTCTGTTTTCTGCACAGGTTGTATTTATGTTTTCACTTTATAAATCAACAAATTATGGGATGTGCCCAGAAGTGGCCAAACTTTTGATTTATATCTTCCTACATACTACGGTGGCTTGGTACACCCTTAGACTAAAGTAGGCCTTTAAGAAATGCAGATCTTTGCTTCGTTCAGTAGACTGTCTAAAGCTGTCTGACTAAAATGATATCCCAGTGAACAAGTCCCAGTTATCATTACCATCCTGTGTCTGTATATCAAGTGACTTCAATTGATTTCACTGTCCTTAAAAGTGAATATTTTCATTCCCTGCTCACAGTTTCAGTAGTACAGTACACCGTACACCTCATTGTTAACTCTTACTTGAAGCACAGAGGATGATGATAATGGATTGTTAGGAATGTTTCATGTTTGTTAATTCAAAGTACTGAACTGGAAAGGGGTCCTGTGGCTGTCTGAGGATACCAGATATACCTAGAACAAAACGAACATGGACTTTATCGGTAGAGTAACTAGCTGCTTACACACAGAATTCAAATATGTTGGTACAGTTAAATGTAATTGATTAAGCCTTGGTCACCACAATGAATAACACTGATTTTATTCTCGGGCACTGTTGTTAAGACTCTCACTATGTAAATCCTGGCAAAAAGCTCACTAGTTCCAACCAGAACTCCATTAAAATAGAGAGTTTTGGATACCATGTTTTCACATTCAATCACATTCTTATTGACGCTGGCTTCACTAAGCTAGTCTTAAGTCCAACTTTACCACTCAGTAGAAGTGCATTCATATAAAAGATCCAGGGGTTGTTTCTACAAACCAGTCTGAAAAAATACTGACTGATCACCTTGGTAAAAGAAAGTCACTGCAGCAACAGAAACGTCATCTCTGAAATAAGAAACAAACTACTGTACAGTGGAACAAGAAGTAGAAAATGTGCAAATACTGAAATGATAAAAGCAATAAGACAATGTCTGTGGCTACGAGAATGAAGTACTCTGTGTGTAACTGGGTTTATTTTCTGTGTTTTTGTCTTTTATATAAAGGCTGTAGAGGAAACCCTACTTCTAACCTGCATCTGTCTGAGCTACAGTGATTAAAAAACCGCTTTGAACCAAAGTCAAGTTAACTTGTGATTAAAAATGTGAATGAATGACCACACAGTTTTATCTTTTAAGCAGTGTTTTTTATGATCAGCATGAAAGTGTCTTTGTATGGATGAAGTGCAGTTTAGCAGTGCTTACTGTACATCATCCACCTTTGTAGCAGTGATTTTAGTTTATTTAATTTGTTTCAGACGTAAAGTCCTTAACATGTCCTGTATGTTAACTAGTGCAGAAAGCAGCACTTTTTTTCATGCATTCAATAACCCTTGTAATTTTTTTCTGATCCCAAAGGGACCATCTGGCTATGCGACAAGTCCGCTCAATCTTGCAGCACCTGGGCCTCACCAGCTCCACGTGTGATGACAGCGTATTGGTAAAGGAGGTGTGTACTGTGGTGGCCCGCCGTGCAGCTCAGCTCTGTGGTGCTGGCTTGGCCGCAGTGGTTGAGAAGATACGAGAGAACCGCAACCTGAATCATCTGTCCGTCACCGTGGGAGTAGATGGCACCCTTTACAAGATGCACCCTCAGTAAGGAGCAGTTATGTCCTAACTGGACTATTCTCTCATTTTAGGATTCAGACTACTCTGCTTGTGTTGGTAGGACACAGAACTGCAACTTAGATTGTGAACCTAGTTTGTTATATTTACTTACTTTTCATCAATTGATGCAGTGCATCCAAAGTGTACTACGTCTGCCCACCCTGTTGGGAAGGTTACTGTTACAGCACAATAAAGAAAGTTATGTTTATCATACTTCATAATTACCACAAAGAATAGGGGTAGATTTTCATGCAACTGCTGTTGTACTAACAATTTATTTTCTTTCCTCTCTCACTTATCTTAAAGTTTTTCCAGTGTCGTGCAAGAGACGTTGCAGGATTTGGCACCCCAGTGTCAGGTGACTTTCCACAAGTCAGAAGATGGAAGTGGGAAGGGAGCAGCACTGATCACAGCTGTGGCCTGTAGGATCCAGAATGGAGGGCAGCACTGAACCCCAAGAACCACAGCTGATGCTTACTGGGTTCTTGTTGCTCAATATGAAGCTGTGTACACTTTTACCAGACTTTAGATCTTTAACACTGAAATGTTTAGTTTTACTAACTTTGTGTTTTCATGTCCACTCATTCACATTAGTGTGAATGCGAGTGTTTTGCTTAGTCTTTGGAATTAAAGAGCAAATTTATGATGTGAGCAGACCTTGAAGGGGACAGTCCTAAATTAAGCTCATACACTACCGTTCAGCTGGTGTGTGTGAGAGCAGCTGCACCTTCTGTAAAATAAGATTGTTACAAGCTTTGGGCCTCATTTTTCTTACACTCCCCTTTATTCATTCACTTTCAACCTACACCCAAACCATGTGAGGGAGGTTGCTGAAGGAAATCATATCTTTGAAATAACCTGAGTACATCCATGTGATTTTCTTTTTTGCATTAATAACATTTTTTTCTCATGCCTTTTTTTTCTTTCACAGCTATTTTAAGAATAAGCAAAAGATTTGAATAAGTTTTATACAGCTGTATACTTTTCTTTTTTCTTTGACTTTACAAGTATTTTATACTATTTTAAACAGACTTAGAAATAAACATGTTATACAATTTCACTTTTCTTCCCTGTGAGTAAAGCATCTGCCATCAATATGAGAAGACAGACTGACTAGAAGTGACTGAGATGTAACTGGAGCCGAAGCTTATTCGTAGGATGTTTTCTTGCCTTCACATGTATAAATCCTTAGTGCGTAGCCCATCAATATCTCCTACGGTATGGACTGATGACAGCAACAACCTTATTCTAATCCAAATGAAAGAGACAGGGGTACCAACATGAAATTATTTTGGGTAGATTTAAACATTTGACGAAAAACTTCAATTTTCTTCTCCAGGAAAGAAATGAATTACACCACATTAACAGCACTCTTGGGGATACGGGTTTGACAGACTACAGAGGTCAAATGAAGGATCGGTTCCCGTCCTTTTAGAGCTTTGTTTTTATTTTATTTATTTTTTTTCTATTTTGCTCTCATTTTTAATAAAATTTCAAGATACTCGAAGAACCTGACTTCACTTTAGCATTGTGGAGTGTTGTGTGTAGATTGATGAGAAAAAAATAATTTTGGGATGAAACTTAACAGAATGTGGAAAATGTTCCGTACTGCCTGCAGTATCGATGCAGGAACCGTTTTTAAACTTTCTCCTGTCTGTTATCTTGCTAAATGCTGTGATGCCCTTATGTGCCCACTGATAGGAGTTAATGTGTCTAGTCTTGATTTATTTATTTTTCTTGCCCTTTTTGTATTAAATAGAATTTGTACTTCGTTTAAATGGTGTATTGAGGTAGGAAAAGTGGACATGACCATCCATTGCATCCAGCAGGGAGGGAGTTCTGCATAGGTCTCGTAAATTCTGCAAATTACTTTCACTTTTAAGAGGAAACTTTCACTAATTACTGACCAAAGTAGTGTTAGTTGTATGTTGTTTTTTTTTTTTTTTTTGTTTTTCTTGAAAGAATGTATGTGCTATATGTAACTTTTTTGTTAATTTTTTTCCAGGGAAAAACCACTGAGGTTAGTAACGTCTTTTACAATACAGTAGTACCCTGGCCAGGACAATGACACTTATAAAATGAGACAAGGCCAACACACTTACAGGATAAATCTAAAGTGGCAAAGAAAAAAACAAAATAATTAAAATGTAATTAAATAAACATAGATGAGATAAGAACAAGGGGAAACTGAAAATCACGTCAGTGTGGTTAAAAGACAAAAACAGGAGCACTAAAGGACTCAGCAGTGTAGTTGCAATAGATTTGCATTCGGTCAGTTTTACCAAATTTAGAAGACACATTGATGACAGTAAGCTAATTTGGCAAAGTCCATTAACTCTTAATAAGTTCTCTGTCAAGTAATTAAAAAAACCAGTTTACATACTGTGTAGTCAGACGGGCCTATGTTAGGCTATATAGACGCTATGAGTAGAGCTGTACAGCTGTGCTTACTGTCCAGAGGGACTGTAATATCATTAATGACCTTTAGTGCAGAAGTAAAGGTACTGTGCTGCTTTCCGAAGCCAGAGTGATGCTTTAACATTTGCTTGTATAAAACCTTTCATTTGGTCACTTATGAGTGCTTCCTGAATTTAGCCAAGACCATGAAGAATGATATCTGGTTGAGTAACTGTGTCCAGATACAAAATACTCCAACTGATTGCACTATAACTTTTCATCTGCTTGATATACAAAAACACTGCTAAAACACAACGTTATATATTCTTATAAAGCTAAAATTTACGTTTAGTTCCTTGGAAACATTATTTTCAGAAAAATACTGTAGCATCGGAGTGGAGCAGCAGCACCTGGTGGGATTCCCCATAATGCTAGAGGGAAGAGACTGGTGGGGTCCCCTAGAATGCCCCTCTAGCCGGAACGTATATAGTTCTGTGTTGATGGCAGTGCTCAGTGTGTTCCTGTGTTCTGTGGTTGCTGTTTGTTTCTTGGCTGTCAATAAAAGAGAGAAAGACTGGCTCTGGTCTCCTGACCCTTCCTTACCCAGCAAACAGTACAAACAGGGCTGTCTGATTGAGCTTAGAGCTTTCAGCTGTATTTAGCCATATGAATTTAGCGTGCATAATATTCAGCCTAATTAGTGTTACTTTACTTGGCTTTACCTAACACAATAATCACTACCATACCCAGACCTCTCTAATGAGCTTTCATTTCTTTGAAATGCCACAAAGAAGACTAATGAAGTGGATGTCATAAATTGATGAGATGCTTCCCTCCTTGTAGAAGAAAGAGTGCAGCAGATTGTGCAATGTCCCCACACTTTGTACAGTTTGTACTACTAATCAAAGTGTATTTCCAGTGAGGACCCTGCATGCAGGTGTTCACCAGAGATTAGCCAACATGGAGTGAAATAAAGACTGAATCATCAAGATGGCCCAAGAAATAAGCTATTAGCGAAATACAGACCGAGTCTAGATCAATTGGAAAACAAATTTGGCATCTCTGGCCTGTGGCTAAAAGTGTACTTATATCTGAAAGAATACTGATTTGTATACTAACACTACATCAATATTTGAATTTGGAGTACCTCAGGGCTGTCTACCTGACCCTCTGTGCTTCTCTTTATAACTTACTCTTGGTCAAATTGTGTGTAGTCATGTGGCTGAGAGTGATGACAGGAAATTAGCAGGCTGATGGCGCTCTGAGGCAGATCATCTCTGTTCCTCCTAGAAGATGAAACTTGGATTAATAATGTAAGGGGAATGGATTTTGACCTTGATGGGTACGACTTGGTATGCACAAACAGAGAGAATAAGATGGGAGGTGGTGTGGCTTTGTACATAGATAAAAACTTTTGTATATATTTTGAGAAAGTCGAGAAAATGTCAAGGGCGGTAGATAACTTGCTGGAGTGTGTGACTGTAGAAATACTCGTGGAAAAAAAAAAAAAAAAGGTTGTAGTAAGCTGTATTTATAAAGCACCTGGAGCCAGCATAGACAAATTTAATGACTGGATGGCGAAGAACTACTCGGCAATAAGTCATAAATTAATGTTCATATGTGGTGACTTCAATATAGATTTGTTAAATCCTAACAAGCACACAGGAACTGAGGAGTTTATTAACACATTATATAGATGTAATTTATACCCAAAAATTACAAAACCAAGTAGATTAACAACCCAGCATGCAACACTAATAGATAATATATTTACCAATGTTATTGACAGCAAAATGACAAGTGGATTACTTATAAATGATATTAGTGATCATCTACC